GACATATCCCGTTGAATTTCTTGACTATAACAAGCTGGCAGGTGAGAGGATACATCTGTACTGTAGATTCTGTTATCTTTCCATGCATTTCTTTGTTGACAGAAATGCCAAAAGGTTTCATGAAAGCAATGATGTATAGGGTATAGGGTTCCTACGCTAGATACTGTAATGAAATATCTTAAATACACTTTGTGTTTTTTTTCAGGTTATTTTCACACTATGCTGCAACATTTGGTCCAGATGGGCTACACCCGAAATGAGACAGTCCGAGGAGCACCGTACGATTGGAGATTAGCTCCTAGTAAGTAGCAAAACTACACACGCACCCTCACATCCACCCTCACACTGTAACTGGGCGAAGACTTTGCATTGAATATCTAGTACAATGTCATAACACACACTTACCAGTGGAATTTTCTTATCTTGAGAGAATATGTAAATATAAAAGGTTTGGAGCCTGTAGACCAGCTCAGCTTGTCCTTTTTAAGAAATAATGTCCTGTGTAGTTTGTATTTGGGACACAAAAAGGAAAAACACACATGAAGAACAATAAAAAGCCAAATTGTTACAAATGTGGCTTCTATCCCCTGCTAGATGCGTAATTAGGCCACCATTTGGTAGCATGTAAGCTTTACAGTTACAACTTTATAATTATGTGTCAGGTCTGTGCGTTTGTGAGCTTGTTGCAGAGTTCATCCGACCTCACGTGGGCAAAACGATGAACACAGCTTTAGAGAAAAACTCGATTTATTCAGGCCAAACTCTGTATCATTATTTATGCTGATGATGAGGATACTTACTGACTGTACATTATGCAAGTTAAACATGCTTTTAGTGAAGTTCCACTAGCCTGCTACCCTCCTGTCTACCATCCTCCCACAGATGAGAATGCAGAGTACTTCACTCAGCTGCAGGACCTGGTTGAGGAGATGTACAACCAGTACCAGCAGCCGGTTTACCTGCTGGGACACAGCATGGGCTGCCACTACGTCCTCTACTTCCTCAACCACCAGCCTCAGGCCTGGAAGGACAAGTACATCCGTGGCTTCATTTCCCTGGGAGCTCCATGGGGCGGTGCTGTTAAAGTACTTAGAGTCCTGGCGTCAGGTAATGGCAAAATACTTGGATCTGCACCTGGCACTGGCAATACAACAAAAACAATACTTATCTCTATTACTAACAACTTCACAGTGTTAACTTAGTGGAACATTAACACAACAATACGATTTGATTGATATTTTATATTTGATCCATTTAATCAAGAATGTCCTGCAAAACTGTACATTGTTGCTTCTTTTATTTGCACCTGTAAGTGTGATTTATAACGCTCCTGTATTTTTGCCTTACCAACCATTGTAGGTGAAAATGACGGCATCCCAATGATTTCCAACATCAAGATCCGCGAGGAGCAGAGGATGACAACAACTAATCCCTGGATGCTGCCATCTGTGGGAGCCTGGCCAAAGGACCACGTGTTCATCTCCACGCCGAAATTTAACTACACCAACCAGGACTACCAGCGCTTCTTCACAGACATCAACTTTGAGGACGGCTGGTAACTAACACCTTTATTGTTATTACACAGCCTTGGTTGACAAAAGCTGTGCTATTACCCACCTTAGTTTTAGATGTAATGTACTCCTGAATCAATCTAAAGCCTAGTTCACACTACACGATTCTAAGCCCGATTTGCAGGGTGGAGAGCTTGGCGACCGTCAGGCTGCGATCAGGGGTAAATCCCTCGGCGGTCGCCAGTTGTTATGTGTGAGCTACTCAACGGCGCATCAAAACGGCTCCGCGACACATTTCTGACACATCACATTTTACGTGATTTACGTTTTCTTGACAAAAACGTAGCATGGTTTGGAGAGATGGCAAGTTGTGTAGTCTGAACAGCACAGCAATCGTCCGATACTGAAAGTCTTGTAGTCTGCCCGTGCCTTAAATGACTCAAATGCATTACAGAAACATTTCCTAACTGCTTGTCCTAACTTAACTCAAGTTTCAAAGACAGGACCAATCCTATCTTCCTATTACAGAAGCAATACCTAAACTGGTGGCTGTGTCTTTTGTGTTTATTGCAGACCTAGTATCTTATCTTAACTTCCTAACTAGAACTGTAAACTAAATTTTTTAATCAGCACTCCTGTCCTGTCAGGCCTGTATCTATGTTCAGAATGCACAAGAGACTGTCTGTGTTTTTGACTTCTAACTTCACTTGTCCAATTTAAGCTACAGTTTTAGCTTTGATGAGTTGTAGGCATTAATTGTGTCGGTGGAGGAGAGGAACCTGACCTGTTTGGGAAGTTTTCTTCTGAATTATCAGCCAAGGATAACGATTTGAACGGACGTAGCACACCCATCAAATTCAAAATAAATTACCATTAATACATGGTCCGGGAAATTTACAGATTTATCATACAGTTTGAGTGTCCTTTCAATCATAATATTTCAGTGTTGATGTTGTTCCCCATCTTCATCGTAATTGCCATACAGAACAAAAAACAGTGGTGCTGGAGAATTTAGGACAGGGTCTATGCCATACTAACTTAGGAAATTCTTCAGTTAGGACGGTTGTGTAATAGTTAAATTCCTATCCTAAGATAAGATAGGATGTCATACTTATGAAGTTTCTGTTATGAATTTCAACGTGGTTGCATTTGCGTTGATACATTATTGTGAGGAATAGCAGTTACTGAAACTTTAAAGCCCCCATGTGTAGAATTTTCATGTGTTGAGAGCATCAACAGCGTCATTTTGATGGCCAACATTTTTGTTTGTAAAAATGTCTTATTCGACACGACCACTGGGAGATGCCAAAGTTACATATTACATTACAGTTTAAGTTGATATGGCAAATAGTTTTCTAGTTACACATCCAGCAGATACAGAGCAACATTAGCAGTCATGTAGAGTTGTGATTTTGGCCTATATTCACTTTAGTTCCGTCTGCTTTGTCTCCACCATCTCCTGAGGGGAATATCTGGCTCTTTAGCTGCTAAATGGTTCCTTGAATTTTCACTCAGGAGCAAAAATCAGCATTTAAACTTGACACTTATCGTGATAATAATAAATATTGAATGGTATGAATTTTTTTTATCGTGATAACAGTTTTGGCCATATTGCCCAGCCCTACTAGTACATTATGTTAAAAAAATTGCTGTCAAAAGGCTTTTCACTAAAAGAGGGAGATGTATGAAATCTAATAAATGTCCTCAGTCGGATGGTTGGAGCTGATGACTACAAGTTTGAAAATTAAAGAAATCGGGGACTGCGTGTGTGAGTTTTAAATAAGTGAGTTTACCAGACCTCTGTTGCCCTCTCCTCATCTCTGCTACTGCTTCTCTAAGGTGTTCATCAATACAAACAACCCCATTCACAAGTAGTCATGTGAACTATTATTAATGTAAAAATATTAATTATTACAGCTGTAAAGTTTTGGTTCTTGTACCACTCTATCCCTTATCCTCTTGTTGGTTTCAGGCACATGTGGGAGGACACCAAGAACCTCACGGGTGATCTCCACCCACCTGGTGTTGAGGTGTGGTGCATGTATGGCGTGGGGCTTCCAACTCCAGTAACATACATTTATGACGAGGACTTTCCTGACGTGGACCCAGTGGACTTTGTTTATGCCGATGGGGATGACACAGTGGACAGCTTTAGCATGAGACTTTGCAAACGTTGGGTGGGACAGCAGACAAACCCGTTCATGTTACAGAGTACCGAGGGCTGGCCCACCTGAATATAGTGTTCCACGAAAAGGTGCTCAGCTTAATCCAGCATATCCTGGAGGGCAGATCGGAGACGCCCAGAGAGGTTGACGTCCGATCTGGAACTGACTAGCAGACAACAGCATGTAAGAGTTAAAAAAAACAAAAACACATGGAGTGCTGGATTTTTACATAACATACAAGTTTGTCCAGCTGTTTGTTCAGCAAAAAAAGAACATCCCACATTGCTCCAACATTTATTAACAACCCCTCTTAGCTCTAGTAAGTGCAACAGTTCCAAAACAATATGAACTTGCAAGTAATATAACCCTGACCCCCCTCCACCCAACCATGACACCCTTATCTAAACTGAAGGAGAATAACTTGCAGTATGGCTTTGACTCTGATCTGTTTATTTCTATTTCCAAGCTGTGTATTTTGTTGTATCCCCATTGGATGTGATGGTGATCATGATGAGACTTACAGTGGGTAATCATGGTATACATAATTATCGCCATAATGACAAACATAAGAGTGATTTCTTTTTGTGATGGTTCATAATGTAGTTTCACCAGGTTTTCGTCAGGCATAGACAGGTCTTGTAACATATATCTTTACAAAAGTACACAATTGTGCTTTGTCTACTTTTGATGTATGATGAAATAATCATCACATCATTTTTTTGTGCACACACACACACACAAACACACACACACACACACACACACACACAAAGTAACACAGTCATATTCTGTATAAAAATATAAAAAAATGTTTTTATGGTGTGTGATGTCACTGTAATATTTGGATTTTTGTTTAGATATCTGTATAAAATATTTTTAAAAAATAATTATAAGATAACATTTTGCTCAGGCTAATATACCTTAGATTATACACTACATTAAACTAATGTTGTGAATTGACAGGGATATTATATACTGTCGTGTAAACATGCCAAATGTGTTTGAATGTTTCAATTTACAATAAAGCATCTAATGTCACAAGTCACTTGTGTGAAATGAGGAATTTAGATCCAGTACAAACAAACCACACAAACCGATTACATCTGCAGTCGATGACTTTTGACTTGAAGTTACGTCTCCGGGTGGATTGCTCTGTAATGCGGACCTCGTGATCAAAACCTTCTTATTGACTGATCATCGTCAATAGCCACATTCTGGTAAATCTGATCAGAGGGCTTCAACAGCTAACCAGAAAAACGCCGCTGAACATCTACGCGCACCGAATAGGCGACCATGACCGCTTGGCTATGAGACATCGGGAGCCATGGCGGCTTGGCACCGGATAACCGCCCTCTCTTCGCTGCTCCAAGTCGGGGTGTTGTTGTTGCTGTTCTCGGCTCCGAGCAGCGGGAGACCGTTGGAGAAATGTGCCGGCGACAAGTCTTGCATGTCCCCGAGACCCCCCGTGGTCCTCAGTAAGTGTTCACGAAAGTGTTTTACAGTGTTAGTCTAGCCTTGTTGTTCACCTTAATATCTGTTGCCAGCTCGTAAACAGCTTTCGCCAGTGAGCGATATTCAAGATAGGCCAAACTCCATTCAAAATTAAAACGATGTAATATCTTCTTGATTGTCACAAATGTTTTATATAAAGCTTAAAGTAAGACTAAACGCATTTCAAATTACTTGTAGGTCAATCTCGAATTCGGCTAGCACATATTCATTCAATTTGTATATATGTCGATTAAAGTTCCACTTTTGTAAATGTTTGGCCTGCCGGTGGTTTTATAAACATTATCTCCTCTCACCAAAACACTCGTCAGAGAGAGCGATGTGTACCATGGTGCATGTCGAAATTTATTTTAAAAAATGCAATTTTGAGTATTATGTCTGTAACGTTATCCCATCGATTCTGAAAATGTCTTTAGTGATTGTTGGAGGGGGATTTAATTTTGCTTTTAAGGAAGGCGTGCTAGCATTGCTAAATTTGTGAACGGAGTTTGGCTGGACGTTGTCATGGAAAGGGACTCCTGTATCGTGGAATATTGGAAAAAACGCACCCATCACCACCCTAATGTTGACATCTATTTGCGAGATTTAGTGAACATTTAAACCTCTTTTGTCTGCAAAGATGCTGCAAGTTGTTGTTTTGTGCGTGTGTGTGTGCGTGTGTGTTTGTTAAGGTTGATTGTTTACAGTGAACTCAGTCCCCTGATCATATGACTGAGCTGGAACAGAATATGTGTCTCCAGCACCACAGTCAGTACAATTCTCATGATACTGAAGAAGTTTCTTTCTAGACTTGGTTAAATGCGTTAATCCTTAGGTTTGTAACTAGTATGTAAAATTAAATTAAAGAGCCATAACTTAACACCGATTGCCAGGTTAAATGTCTACAATTCCTCTCCTTCTCCCACTCCATAATCAAAGGGTCTGCGGTTTAGAGCAATCTTATCAGTGTTTGGCCAAGTTACAACCATGGCATCTGTCTGTCTACATGAGTGTGTGATAAGAGCTTGACCCACAGTGATCTCATGCTGTTAGTTTGTGCTTGTGGTTAAGAGTAGAATATTACACTTGTAACTGTGTTTGGCTTCTGTAATGTTAATAATGTTCTGTAATGGCAGTGAGGCAACCAGAAGGGCCTGTTCAACTACGTAAATATTTCAGGACAGGTTTGCTGCAGCGGCACAAAACACAAAAACAACAACAAGCAAAAAATATATTATCATCAAATTGGCATTTGCTACATGGCATCTGTTATAATAATTGGCCTCATAGGTGAGTATACATTATTATACATTACAGTATACATGGACTGTTGCGCAATGTTTAGTGCATGTTGTTTGAACATGCGCCGAGGTGGAAAGAAAGAAGGAGAAAAACAGCAAATCAATTAAGCTCCCTGCCTAGTCTCATTTCAAGTTGAATTACTGATAACTGACAACAGCTGTATACATTAGAAATATGTTTCACAGTCTGGAAACTGGGTACAGATGAGCCAATCATTGAAGAGCAATGTGTTTCTGCCATTGGCCTTTACTATACTGTCTAACCACATTAACAGTAATAACTGCAAAACCTTTTATATAATTTTGAACAACCTTGCGGTGACAGTGACATTGACGTAACCGGTAACGTTGCTCGTTGCAGTTCCGGGGGATTTGGGGAACCAGTTGGAGGCGAAGCTGGATAAACCCAGTGTGGTCCATTACATCTGCTATAAGAAGACTGAGGACTTCTTCACTCTGTGGCTCAACCTGGAGCTGCTGGTCCCTGTAGCCATAGACTGTTGGATAGACAACATGAGGTATGATGTGGATTGGTCTGTGTGTGGACCAAACATTCCCTTTACATTCAAACAGTAAGTCTTTGATGAATAGATCTACCTCACCAAAATGACTTTTCCCCCAGTAAAAGGTTTGTTGATGTCAATTTTGACTAGTATCATGTGATGATTAGCTTGGTGTTTTTCACCACATAGGTTACAACAGTTTGCCTTTGTTGTGGGAACAAACAAGTTTTGTGAAAACATCATGGTGCAAATTCCATAACTGCCAGCTGTCAATAGGATAAGGGAGTAGGTAGGTGGGTTCGACGACCTGGTTTACGTCTTGTGAACGGTTATCAACCTAAACTGGATAAACTGACCTTCCATTTATCAGCGAGGCATGGAAGGAAACGCAAGATAGCATCCCTTTTAATGTCTCCATCAGCCTTCAGCTAAAAAAACACTTGTCAGATACTGAGTGAGCCTAAATGGGCAATTCAACTTGTATGAGACATTTTGTTAGGGAACAAAATCCTGTAATTTTATATTGTTGTTATATATTTAGACATTACTGTGAACTACAGTATCTCAAAATCACAAATTTGCCGTGATGCAATCGGAGAGACATTTTGCAACAATTATTGCTCTGTGGCTCTACTAATCAAGGCTAACATGATGTTAAAATGATGATTAAATGACGCTTTTAGTTCTTAATTTCTTAAACTGCTGTTAGAGGATTGATTTGTTAATCCTGGACTAAGCCATCTTGACTAACAGTGTGCTCTTATTTTGAAATAAGGACAACATGAGTACATAGTGGAAATCCATGATCAACAGTCATGTAACTGATCATATGATTATACTTGTGACTGGCTGTCATCACACTGTGGCTACATGCTGCACGTCGTGTGTTTAAATTTTTTTTTTTTTTTATACAGGTGTACGATAGCTCATTTAAAGGTCAGGATTCACCTTAAATGTAAAGCTGTCTAAACGCAGAGATGAAATTGTATGACCACTTCTCAGCAAAGTGAGTTCAGTTATCTATCCATCCATCCATCGTCAACCGCTTATCCTGCGTAGAGGGTAGCAGGGCTGGAGCCAGTCTCAGCTGACATGGGGCGAAAGGCGGGGTACACCCTGGACATGTCATTAATGAGTTCAGATATCCAATTTAAATAACTTACCTATAATTTATAAACTGTCTAAGTGTATACAGCACTTATGATCCAGTCTTATTGATCCAGCATACTGTGAATAAGGTGCCATGGGGCTAAATGCTAGGTTGTGTAAATTCTGCTGAACCACTATGTCCACAGGTGAGATAGACAGGATATTGGTAAATGCTTAAACATGGTGAACACAGTAGAGATGACTGACACCTGAGAGTTATGCTACAGTTATTTTGTTTTTTTTCTTCTGCATCAGGCTAAATAGACAGTACAGGCAGGTGTAACTGTCTGAGAGATTGACAGTTTCAGTGAGATAATTTCAGTACATTCCCGTAAATGAGAAATGAGTTGTAACCCCTTCAAATTAAACAAAAATAATGCTGATTAGACTTGCACTATTTTAGAAAATAACCTCCAATCCAGTAATGCTTATCTAGCAATTGCATTTTAGTTGGGGGGGGGGGGGGGGGGCACTTTTTTTCTCACATCCTCATGGGGTTTAAAAAAAACTGAGTTGGGGAAGTTGTTGTCACACATAACTCACAAGGTGGTAGAACGATGGTGATTTTAAAAAAAGTAAAATGTATTTGTGAGTGTGTGTTGTTCACCACAGATGCAGAACCGACACTGATTTGGTTTTTTGTGCGTGCGCAGGCTGATCTACAACAGGTCCACTCACACGACCTCGTCCCCACCGGGTGTGGACATCCGTGTCCCGGGGTTCGGACAGACATTTTCCGTAGAGTATCTGGACCCCAGCAAACACTCTGTGGGTGAGTTGAAGGTCCAAAACCAAGCTGTTCTTTAGAGACAGGAGAACTGGGCAAAAAAATCCTTTGTTTCCAAAGTTGTCGTCACTCTGAAGGTTTAAATGGGTCCTCATAAAGATAGACGAGCAAGAATCAGAGAATTGCTTTTGTCGCTGCTCATGTTTTGAGTAAGAGAGTGAAATGTTTGATGCTTTATTTTCTTATTGTCTTGTGTTTCCTAGGCATGTATTTCTTTAGTATAGTCCAGGCACTGGTAGACTGGGGCTACACCAGAGATGTTGATGTCAGAGCAGCTCCATATGATTGGAGGAAAGCCCCCAGTAAGCAGACACCCACACACACACACACACCCCCACCCCCACCCACCCAGGTATACAAAAAAGATGACTTTGTCTTAATCCATTAATGATCAACCCTCACCTATTAAAACCTGAAATCCACATTTTCATTCTTAATGTTTTCACAAGTCATTGTGAGTTGATCACACTACAGCACGTGAGACTATTTTGATTGTCAGTGTCGGCGACTTGGTGCAATATGAGTGCAAGAGCCATTTTGGCACATTTAGTGATTTGCTAAATTGTTGTTAAAAATCACATGCTTTATGTTCCCGGGTCATGCAGAAGTTCTTTGTGTTTTTGATATTGTGTTTTTGTAACTAAATTATGTAACTTTCGTAACCACACGGTTGGGTTAGTAATTTTGCTGCACATGGGCAGTACGAAAAAAGGAACACGTGAGAGGTTACGAGAGATCTGCAAGAGCCATGGATCATAACTAGTTTTTGACCATGTTTTGCAAAATAGGTTTGAGTAAATTTTGGTGGACTGCACTTGGCTGGTAATGGACCAGGCCTTTTGTAAACTCTGGATTAAAAGCTACACTCAAACCTTTTCTTGACTCTTCTAGATTTTTATGTACATGGGTACTCCTGGAGTGTGGATATTAGGACACATGTAAGTGGACACACGTCAGGCTAAGATAGACCTCTTGCAGAATAGTGGCCTTGGACTTTGTTATTGTGAAACAGCAATGATAATGAGGAACAAAAAAATATGGATGATTTTAGATAAAATGTGAGCACATCCTTCTAAACAGTGTTCCTTCCAGTCATGGAATTGTTTGGCAGTGAACCACAGACTGTGTAAAACATGGACGTGGTCTCCGTGACATCACCCATAGGTTTCTGAAGAGGCGTTGTGAATCTTAATGTGGGAGGCTCCGGACATCGCCAACTTGGCAGTAACTGATTCTGGTTAATCCACAAATGGGCAAAGAGGTGCAGCTGAGGCGGTCTGAATGAAGCCTAGCGGCTGGCCACCTGTTACGGCACCCACCTGTAATTATGCTATAAGTTTAAACCTTCATATAATTCAAATGGTGGAGTTGTATAAAAAAATCACCTACCATACAGTCGTCATGAATGGAAAATTATGGCATTTTGAGTCTATGGGGATTAATTCGCTTTTGGAGACTGTATATAAAAAGGTTGCCACTTGCACTGAAGTCAAAATAAACGGGAGTAAATAACCTTTTGGAAGTGTGAGAAATGTTACTCCTCAGGCCACATTTTTCAACTGGTCCAAACCAGGAAGGAACAAACATTCAGTCTTTGAAGTGGCCACAATTTAACTTAATAATAGAAAATGAGGGAATTTCACAGAAGGGCCAGTGGAGGAACTTTAACTAATCTTGTTCTTTTCTCCTTCATCAGATGAGAATAAAAAGTATTTCCTGGCACTACAGATTATGATTGAGGACATGGCGAAGGCGGCTGGCGGGCCCGTGGTGCTCATCGCTCACAGCATGGGCAACATGTACACCTTGTACTTCCTCAATCAGCAGCCACAGGCCTGGAAAGACAAATACATTAAAGCTTTTGTCTCTCTGGGACCACCATGGGCTGGGGTGGCCAAGACCCTCCGCGTGGTCACATCTGGTAAGAGGTCTAACACATTATGCATTATGTTTTGTAGAAGACGAGAACCGCTTGCTCCCTGTCTTCCCAGGAAAAGTCCAGAATGAACAGAGGAAAAAGAAGAGAGCACAACATACATTATAACTTTACAAAAAGATTTCTAATAAAATGAAAATATATTATATAACATAAAGAAATAGTCAAGCATGTACCCACATAGGTCCTGAAGTAGAGAAAGAAAGCATTAGCAGGGTCTTTCTTGCAGAGTGGTCTCTGTGTCATTGTAACACAATCAACAGAGCTAAGAAAAGCTCCACACTAGCCGTCATGGACTCAGTAGTACACTCTACTCTAGCAGCACAAGCCAGACAGCAGCCCGGTCACACGCATGCTTCAACAAGCGTCTCTTTTAGTTTGCACATTTATACATGAAATAAATAAAACTTTAGCTCCAAAATGTAAAAATATCAAATATAAAAAAAGAGCAGCAGCAACACATACATTTCCTAAAATGAAGCAGCTGTTTAAACAGAGAAAGGAAAATTTACCACTTCCACATTAGAACATTACTAAATATTTACACCTACTAGCTCCAAGGTGTAACTGTCATGTAGCTAAATGAACCAACTGACAAAGCTAACATCTGCCTGCTAGTAGAGGAGCCCCTTTTAGATTGAGGAGTAAAAAAGATATAACACAATATGGTCGACACATTCTATTCAATCATGTCAAATAATATTTGATTTAAAAAAAAAATATTTAAATTGCACTGAAACGCACATTTCTCCTTGTATGCATACATAAATGATAATAGCTACATTTGCAAAAGATTGGCCTGTGTATATTAACTGTATTAACCCCTAAAAGTGTTATATTTGTAAGTTATGTTACAGATTGTGATGCTACAGGTACTTCCTCATTACATGGTAAATTGTTTTTGATGGGACAGAGCTACAGATGTTTCCCAGCAACCAATGTACACATAACTGTGGAAGATGAATTCACAGATAGTAAGTGAAGCCCACTTCGTTAGTTTTACCTGTACCCTTCAAAATAGAAGTCTCTGCTAAATCCATTCCAATCCAGTCCAAGATTTTCCAAAAATATATAATGCCGTCTTTATAATTTTAAAAGTGCAACAGCGTAACCACTACTACACATTGAGGAACCTACTATTTAGACATTGCTCTGGTGTCAGAGCTTCGTTCTGAGATGGTAGGACTGGTCTGGGGCTTAAACAAAATACGGATATTCCATCCTGTCTAATGAAGACATTGTACATTTGTTTTATTTCTCCAAAAATATATCCGCTCTCTCATGAGGTCAGTGCTGGGAAACAAACCCTGAGTGCTAAATCCCATCAGTGAGTGAACGGTCCTCTGAGACCATCTCACTAATGCTAGTTAAGTGTGCTTCAGTTAAGCCTTTTTGACCTTTAGTCCATTGCTATTTGCCACTCAAGAAATCTTTACTTATGTGCAGTTTAGTCCTGGCACATTGCGTCTGTGTCATAGTCCTTCAGATTTTCAAACATCAGTTGTCTTTTGCAGCTATCAAAGTTGATGATGCTGTTTTTAAATGATTTCATGGGAACAGGGTGTGGAATAACCCCAACGATGTCCCAGCAACTATTCTCATCCACCCTTTTCTTCCTCTGCTCGATTACTTCATAACTGCTCAGACCAAATTTCATAAAAGACAGTTCCATCAGATCCTGTGTGCACACTCAGGTTTAAGTAATACCGTGTAGTACAGAATACTGGATGTTTGCACGTCATGTGTTTCAGGTGTGTCTCCCGCAAGGCCACACAATGAAACTCTATGGCTGGAAATTCTCAGCACAGTTTCAGTTCTCTCTGAATAGTTTCTTTTCTCTACCTACAGGTGACAATGACAACATCCCAGTGATTAGCCCGTTGAAGATTCGCTCCCAGCAGCGTTCTGCTATTTCCACCTCATGGCTGCTCCCTTATGCTCACTCCTGGCCCAAAGATCAGGTAGGTGTGTGTGTGTGTGTGTGTAGATGGGCCTTTTCTGTCCTGCCAGGTAGACACTATTAATTGGTAGTGACAAACCCACAGAGAATTTTCCATTTTAGCATTTGGTAGAAGTAACTCAATTAAACAACTGAGAAACAATTTTTTATCCAATCCGCCACCAGGTTTTGGTGCAGACGCCTGCCGCCAACTACACTGTGCTGGACTATAAGCGCTTCTACTCGGACATCGGTTTTGAGGACGGCTGGCTGATGCGGCAGGACACGGAGACACTGGTGGCTGACCTCACGCCCCCCGGCGTGGCCGTCCACTGCTTGTATGGCAGCGGCATCCCCACGTCCCAGGCCTTCCAGTACTCCGACAAGTTCCCCGATGTGGAGCCCACGGTGGTGTACGGCGACGGGGACGGGACAGTGAACCTGCTGAGCGCCATCCAATGCAGGAGGTGGGTAGGAAAGCAGAAACAGCCTGTGACGTTGAAAGAGCTTCCAGGGAACGAACATGTGAACATGTTGCTGAACATCACAACCGTGGCTTACATCAAGACTGTGCTCTTCTCACCGTAATGCTGGCAGAAACCCAGGGGCTGGCTTTTCTCTCTCTCTCACACTCACACACACACATACACACACACACAGCCACACGAAGGACAGACAGGGACCCCTTCATACCTCGCCTGTCTCTGAACCCGACTACCAAAATATTACCATGTACATGCACATTGCAGAAAGGCAAAACTTACATTTTGTAGTACAATTGCAGAATTGAAGTTTTAAATTAATTTTATAGCTGTAATTATACAATAATTATGTTAATGTAAGCTTACTGTTGAGTTATCCTAAGTACAGTGACTTTTATATTTGTCTCAGCGTGTAACGGAGCGGAAGATTTTACCTACCAAATCCATGTTGTTATGATAAAGAACGTGTGTATGTCCAAGTGAAAAAAACAGGGATATACTGTATGTGCCACTTTCTGATTTATTAATCAAAGTCTGATCTTTTTATCAATGTTGTGAAAGAGATTTCAGAAGTCCTTTGACTCTAATGTTGTTAGGCAAATGGTAATGCACATATTGTGTTTGTATCTTTCTCGGTGTAGCAGGTCACATGTTTCAGTCCTTTGTATATGTTCAAATGAGTTAAGAGACCTAAGTAGACTTTTTTTTTTTTTGCATGCAGCCAAGCTGTAAGTCCCTGGTGGTTTGAGGGCTTTGTTTTTATTGTGTTATCCATATTACACTGGAACCATACCTGGGATATGGATGTTGATTTTTCACTACATCTCAGGTCTTAATCAATGAAAGGAGTTGGGCCCATTAATTGTGGTGGTTCTGTTCATTGATGAAGACCATGAGACGCAGATAAAAAAAGATTAACAAGTGGACCTCGAGTTAAGATTTTTATTTTTATTTTGTTCTGAAGAAATGCACCGTTTGACTCAACAGTGAAACAAAAAGATCTAAACCCAGGGTCCAATTACTAGCTTTCCCCCCAGTGCTTTCCAATGCATCTCATGTTCTTCATCAATGAGTGGAGTTTGCTCAGTGAAGATACCTCAGTTGTACTGTCCCAAGATCCAATGATGAAGAGCTTAAGGTATAGATGAGAGCACCAGAAAATCTAGTAGGAGGCACTTATTTTGTCAAGTGAGAGCTTACAAGCTCAAATCCATTCCGCTCCAGTTTGTTTGCTTTCTAATTGGCTGTATGTGACAAACGGAAAGCAAACAGCCAAATTAGTGACATGGTTTTTTTTAACTGACGGAATCAGTGTAAAATTAAACTATCCACTATTACTATATCTTCACTTTCCATATTCTATAAAATTGATTTTAATGGCCCAGGTTTGGTTTGAGCCAGGTGGCTGATTAGGGGCACATATCTGGATGTTTGGTTTTTTTATAATATAAATCTGAATTTTTCATCACTGTTTATTTGCTATATTTTCATTCATGACTTTTTAATTCCTTGGTCTTTCTGTTTAGACAGAGTTTAAAAACGTGCCTCCCTGTCCTTGTGGTCATGCAGTCAGAAACTCTCTGACCCGAGTGATTATACTGTGCCATGCAGGCCTCACTGGGCCAGACCAAGATCATAGAACTAATTATAATATCTGCTGTGAACTATCATACATGTGTCAGCAACGTGTTGCCTTCAATAGAGTAAATCTTTCAAATAATACAGCCAGCCATTGCCTTTTCTTTGTGCAGTAAATCCTGGTAAACCTTCCACACTGTTTAGAAATACCTCTTTGTTTTTGCGCTCTAGGACAGGTGTGTCTCTGCATAAGTTTTCCTTAATAGATGGAGAGAGCGATTTGTCATCTGGAAGTTAATTCTGTGGACTACATAGATGTTGAATGGGGTGTTGACTTTCCAGTCATTTTTACTGTATTAAATGAAGACTCCTGTGTTCAGATAAATGGCAAGATATCACTGTGTTGGAACCACAGTGAGGTTTCGATGCCAATTAAGTCCACAACTTCCTTTCAAATGTGCTGCTTCTCACACATGCGTCACGTCAACCTTTCTGAACCATGATCTCGTAGTATTAGTACAGCCACATGCAAAACACAAAAGGAAGTACAAAACCAGTCGCAACTTTATTTTAATTCTGTATATAAATAATGTAGAAAATTACATTAACATTATTATAGTCCTTATTTTTGCCATTGAGCCTTAATTTGTCTTTATTGGGCTCAGTGTTGTGGGTCAGAATAATGTAGCTGTAAAAGGTCCAGTGGTCAGGGTGCAAATGTCAAATTTTAGGTTTCCAGAGGGAAGCGGAAGGTCTTGTTTCCTGTTCTGCAGCGCAGCTCCACGCAGTCTAACCTCAGCAGAAATGGGCCATCTTCGTGGTCATCCACCAGACTCTAACGGCCAAAACATCAGAGACTTGTGAGCGGTGGTCAGCTAGTAAACTCTGTGCAAGTCATTCATTCAAAAGTGCTGTGACTGAGGCCGCTGCCCAGAGAACCATCCCCAGGAGTGTAACACACATACAAAGAGTAACAGACAAAGTTTTCTAATCCAAAGCATTTATATGAAACCTAAATCAAAACAACAGCCTGACTGTTAGTTGAGTTTTAACAGTATATCAGCTGATATTAAATTTTAAGGCATTTTACAGTGAATAAATGAACTTGTCACTGCTCTGATGGGAAAATTATGTGATGGAGATACTTTATAAATTACCTCACGCATATCTTTGGCATTGTTGTACAGCAGTTTATTTGCAAACACGCATGCTAATCACAACATAGCTGCGGTGAACTAATATCAGCTGATATATTGGTCTAGTTCCAAACATACTGAGGTATTTTAAAAAGGATTAAGGAACTGTAGCATACACACACATGGATTCAGAATGGACTGGCAGGATAAACAGTGAAATTATTTCTAAAGGAACACAATGATGTCAGTGTTGAAAGTTATGTTAGACCGATACAAGACTTCTCGGTACCTGCAGCTCCTGAATGCACTCCTTCATCTGTCCTGCCAAGTCTCCAACACACCAGGCCAAACTCACATGGAAAGATGGATCCTAGAAAACACATCAGCGGGAACCATTATGGAGGTGAGACATGGATGTGCACTACTTTAGATTCTTTTGGATGACTTGTTCATATTTTCTGATTCACAATCAATTCACTGTATTGACCCGGTTATAAACACCTTAACAGTGACACACAGACTGGTCCAGCTATAGACCCTAAAGGATAAAAGGAGATAATCAGTGTGTGTGTTAAAATGTGTTGGTCAGTGACCTTATAAAAAGTGTCGAGGCGAAACTCTGTCATTGTTCTGTCCACGGCTTGGACCAGGTCCAACAACTGAGCGTGCCCAGTACAAACTTCCATCCCCAGAAAGGTCCTGCACGGGACAACAGACAGACATACATACAAGCCAAATGCCAGAAATTAAAATGTATCTTTGACAGATAAATCCTTTATATCTATCTATATAGATACAGATGGATAGATAGACCGAGACAATTAAAAGACTGACTGTACCTCGTCTTCTCAGCATTACAATAGACCCTCACTCTCCCCGCTGAACACACAAACCTGGCAACAAAAAAACTCAACTAGAATGAAAATATCAAAAATAATCTGCATCTGATTTTATTTTTACTGTTCCACCTACTCCAGTGCAGATGACCCTCTAGGATGCTGCTGCAAATACAGTTTTACTCAAGTTGCCTTGAGATAGTTGTTGTTTTACTGAGTATTTGTGTGTATCATGGATTTACTGTTGTGATTCATTTGTGATTTATTCTATCTATACCTTAAAAAGCGGGAAAAAGAAGAACAAATCAAAAGAATGTTATAAGATTGAATCACCCTGTGTGGGGGTATTTGAGCAAACCTCTTGCAGTGCACCAGGCCTGCCCTGAGGCTCTGTGTGAAGGGCTGGATCCAGTGGTGTCTTAGCACCACCGTCTGGGACAGGCTGAGGTGGAACTCCTCCTGCGGGGTCAAAACCGCACCATGGGCCCTTGCTACAGAGAGCAGTGCATCCAACAACTCCCTGAACTCCTCCTCAGGATGGTCTGATGTGGAGAGGAGACATGGGGGAGAAACAAGAAACCAAGTTAAGCGAAGAATCCGGTTAAATAAATGATCATACATTTGACTTGCGTAACAACATGTGCGATGACGTGACTTCTCTTGATGATCACTCATCAACTGTGCAGCGTTTCTGTCTTACATGGCAAATAAATGTAGGTGGCCCAGTTGCCTCTCTCGTGTTTGAAGGAGCGGATGCGTCCACCATGAAGTGCACTGTCTTCAGTCTGTGAGTCCACTTCTTCTGGAAACATGGCCATAAGGCAACCAGGAAGAGGCAGCCTGCTGGCCCAATAACAGGGGTCACTTAATTTTCTATTTCCTATATCAGTCAATGGCTGCCCAGTTTGGAAACTCATGTGAAACTCAACACTTTCAGTAACTTTGTCAGCCAGGACTTGGCCACAGTGGTGGATTGTAACCAAGTACATTTACTCAAGTCCTGTACTTAAGAACAAATTTGAGGTACTTGTAATTTACTTGAGTATTTCCATTTTATTCCCCTTTCTACTTGTACTCCATGACATCTCTGAGGCAAATATTGAACTTTTTACTCCACTACATTTATCTGGCAGCTTTAGTTACTAATCACTCTTTAGATTACTCTTTTTCATACCTTTCCTGTCCAGGGAAAACTATGATTGAACTACTCAACAGTATATAAAGGAGTTAAAATTAACACAACCCTATCTATCTATCCATCTATCATCAAAACATGTCATAATAGAAAACACTGACAGGGAACATTTACTACAGTAGGAGTAATTACCTTTGTTGATAATACTTACATACTTTTACTTAATGTTTGAATGCGTGTTACTTGTAGTGGAGTATTTTCTCAATGTTACATTATTACTTTTCCTTAAGTAACGTTAAAGGCTCTGAATACGTCTTTCACCACTGGCCATGAGCGAATGTTAACTTAATAATTAACAGTATGTTAATAATGTTGATTTCATTTAAAGCTTACAGGAGAATTTTGCATTCAGGTTTAACATGTAATCTTGATCATAAGTTAACTTAACATCTGAGAAATTGTTTTTCCTCTGTGTCATCCTCTTTCTCCTTACAGTCACTGGTAAATCCTGCTCGGGCCTACAGAAAGTCACCACACACCTTGTTTTAGGAAGCTGTTCCTCAATTCTGGGTTTCTTGCTCGCAGGGCGGCCATTGTCGTCTTCCTCTTCACACTTTCGAGAGCAATGTTGTTCAGTCGCCTCTGCCGCCTCGCTGTCCTCCTCCGAGCTGCTGCTGTAGCCAACCAACATCCTGAAGGGTGTGCTGGGTCAGGACTTAGCAAACATTAATTGTACATGCGAACTAGCAAAAAGACTAAGAGGAATTAACATAGTTATTTAATCATTGGAGACTACAAACATATTTACTCTGGCTTTCCCAGCGATTTCAATCACTCAGCCGGTGTATCACCCACTTCCTATGTAAACAACCTGTTGTAATGAGAATTTAGGTCCCAGTGAAACACAACCTCGCCTTTAATCAGTTCCCCTTTCGTTGGTTTGCCTCAAGATGAGCACAGTGCATGGAGGAAGGACCTGTGTGTGGGTGTTTTGTGTTTACCGTTATCTGCTCGGCTTAAAAGAGTCTCTGTTTTAATTAGTCAAAAATGTATTTATCATGACAAGATGACAGGTTCAGCAGAATCTGCAAGTGCAATCAGTTTTCATTTATAAAAAGTCATTAACACATTTTAGTGTTTAGGACAGCGAGAAAAGATCGATAGGATAGCCTGAATGTGGTTAACTGAGAGTACTTCTGCAGGATTGTAACATTAAAGCCACTATTCACTAGGTTCCGGGTGTGCGTGTGTGTGTGTGTGTGTTGTGAGCATGCCAATTAACTCTTGGTTTATTCATGTTCCCGTGCGCGGGCAGTGGCTCAGATGCTAGCCGATAGCTAGCTAGCAATTTATAACAAAATGCATATCTTTTTGTTAGCCAAGGGGATGCCCTAGGAGCCAAATAAATGTATACGTGAAACGATAACGTTTATGGGGCGATTTGGGAGATCGCGGGAGAATTCTGACCCATTTTAATGACCCTTAAATCCCGATTTTTCGGCCCCTGGAGCCACAGCGCTCGAACAAGAGAGCATCCCAGCACCGTTTGCGGATATGAGGAAGGGACCCGACGTTATTCGGGGGAGAAGCTAACATACAACTGACTGGCATTTTATCAGGAATACTCTGTCGGCTTGACTGGACGCTCCGGGTATGTAAATGCGGAACATCTCATCACTGTTTACATGCAGCACTCACTAACAAACGTGTCGCTTCAGCATTTGCTACTATGCTATAACGTTAGCAGGCTAACGGTATCTCTTTCCTGTGCCTCTGTGGCTGCGTTAGCAAGTGGCTAGGCTAACCAGCTAACCCATCCTGATTACAGTGATCTTTGCCTGCAGACGAAAAACGTTATGATGCGCAGACGCTGCCTTCCACTTTTTCCCCCTTTTTTAATTTTTTTTAGCGCGAATCGTTGAGCATTTTGATTTTTGCACAGACAGGGGAGGAACTACATAACCAGCATAAAAAAGATTTAAATATAACGTTACTACTTAGCGGTAGTTGTTTGTGCCCAAGTGTTTATGTTAATGAGAGCCCGCTTGCTGTGTGTTTCTGCTTCACGGATGTTGCATATCTTAAAGTTGTTTATGATTACATTTCATTGCATTTGGATGCTTTAGCATTGTTTACATACAGTATAAATCATTGTAGAGATGTTAAGATTCTCCCCGTCCTTGTATATGACTCTTTGGCCGATGTAAACACGTTTTAATCACTTCATCTGTTGTCACCGACGTTTTATCTCCCGCCAGAGTTGCTTAATTAAAATGAAAAATCTGCTTTGATATTTTGTCAGGAGCTGTCTGCATAGCCTGTCACCAAGCTTTTGTGAACTGCCTATGTAAACCTCTGCTGACGGATCATAAATGTCATCTAAAGCTGATGTTGCAAGTTTGCAAATGTTTTTGCTAAACTAATACAGTAAAACTTAAATAAATAACTGATCTTTTATTTGCTTAAATCATTGAACTCACCCTGCCTCTATGTGGGACAGGCTTTAATTCCTTTACCATGCTAGTAAATCTGAAAGAATTATACTTTGGTGCTCATTGTTTCCATAAAACGGACTAAACAATTGAATTGTGGAGAATTTAACTGATCTAACGATATGTTCAAACATATATATTATGTTATATTGGTATGTGTGATCTAAGCAGCTTAGAACTAGCTCAAGCAGGTGACCTGGTGGGTTTCCTGAGGTTTTATACGTCCAGAGAACTTCTGTAAAAACCAGACCAGGAATCTAATTGAGACCTGCGTTTATTTGTCAAAACATGTAGCCATGCCTGACCTGTAAGAGGGACAGGCGTCTAATTGGGACTAGGCTTTTAATTGAAGTTACACTGTATTACTTTTTGCTGCCATGATGTACCGTCTGTTTGAGAATGTTGCAAAATATTGCATTAGTGGAGTCCATCGCTTAAACCCTAAATGCACTATAGTTATTGAGTAACTTCTTTCTTTCCCATTGCCATTTTGACTCACCTTGATTCTCTTTTTCATACAGATACCACTTGAAATCCAAGAAGTGAAGTGGAAGTAGGGGATTTTCTTCCCTTTCTGCCTACAGCTCTTCTCCTCCCTGCGATACTGTTCCTGTCATTAAATCCCTCGTCACCCTTGCCAGTTTTTCAGTGCCACTTGCTGAAATGGAGTGAGTTTCTATCCTGTTGTCTTAACACACCCTGAAGCCTTTATCCCATTATTGAAATATATGTCTGTCTCCCTTTCTTACTGCAGTTGGGCCACGCCAGCAGCCAAACTGAATCCCTACACCCGAGCCCGCATGACAGAGGCCTGGCAGCAACACTCAGTCGGTCCACCTCAAGTCGTCCACACTATCCCTCCAGGAGCTGAGAACGCGTTGGGCTGTGCCGTGTATGGCATTGTACTGCAGCCAGATGCTACGTCTTTGCAGCAACAACAGCAGCAACAGACTCAGCATGGACAGCACAGCCAACACAACCAACAACACAGTGCGAGTCAGCAGCACGGAGGCGGGCAGCACAGTCAGCAGCAGCACCCTGCCCAGGCCCAGCAGACCTCCCTACAGGTAGGGACAGAGGGAGGACACAAGTGTGGGGCCTGTGGACACGATATCTCCCACCTGGCCAATCCACATGAGCACCAGTGCATGGTGAGTCAGGACAGGTCATTCCAGTGCACCCAGTGCATGAAGATTTTCCACCAGGCGACAGACTTGCTAGAACACCAGTGTGTTCAGGTGGAGCAGAAGCCGTTCGTGTGTGGAGTGTGTAAGATGGGCTTCTCCCTACTCACCTCTTTAGCCCAGCACCACACATCCCATAACAGCACCAACCCAATGAAGTGTTCAATATGTGAGAAGACCTACCGACCCGGTTCTTCTGGCAACGTCACACCCAACTCGAATAATCCCCAGCAGTCCGGCAGTGATGGGGCGTCAGCCAGCAGCAGCTCATCCATTCTACCCTTTCCCTCGGCACGAGACCGGCCGTACAAATGCTCTGTTTGCCAAAAGGGCTTCAAACACCTATCAGAACTCACGCGGCACGAGAGGGTCCACACAGGAGAGAAGCCCTTCAAATGTGACACATGTGACAAGGCCTTCAGCCAGTCATCACACCTACAGCACCACCAGCGAACACACAGCAGTGAACGCCCATTCAAGTGTGCTGTTTGTGAAAAGAGTTTCAAGCACCGCTCCCACCTCGTGCGCCACATGTATGTGCACTCTGGTGAGCACTTGTTCAAATGCAACTTATGTGAGCTGCACTTCAAAGAGTCGTCGGAGCTCCTTCACCACCCCTGCCACCCGCAGGGTTCCCGCCCCTTCCGCTGTGCCACATGCGGTAAGGGTTTCAAGCGGCCGTCAGACCTTCGCCAACATGAGCGCACGCACTCGGAGGAGCGTCCCTTCCACTGTGACGAGTGTCAGATGAGCTTCAAGCAGCAGTATGCGCTGGTTCGGCATCGACGCACACACAAAGACCCTACTGACCGGCCATTCAAATGCAATCTGTGCGACAAGGGCTTCATGCAGCCCTCTCACCTCCTCTACCACCAGCATGTCCACGGCATGGACAACCTGTTCAAGTGCGCCTCGTGCCAGAAGGAGTTCAGCCAGTCAGGAGAGCTGCTCAGACACAAGTGCGGCGAGTCATCCAACACCTCGCCCGACAAGCCGTACAAGTGTGACGTTTGTGGCAAGGGCTACAAGAAGAGTTCCACGTTACAGCGTCATCAAAACTCTCACTGCCAAGAAAAGCCCCTCAAGTGCTCGCTCTGTGACCGCCGCTTCCTCTCCTCCTCGGAATTCGTCCAGCACCGCTGCGATCCGTCGCGGGAAAAGCCGCTGAAGTGCCCTGACTGCGAGAAACGTTTCAAATACTCATCAGACCTGAACCGACACCGGCGCGTTCACACAGGGGAGAAACCATACAAATGCGACCACTGCAACAAGGGCTTCAAACAGCGAGAGCACCTGACCAAACACCAGAGCACGCACTCCAGAGAGGGCCAGTTCAAGTGTGTTTGGTGCGGTGAGCGCTTCAGTGACTTGGGCTCTTTGCAGGATCACACGGTGCAGCACACAGCCGACGGAGGGGGTTACCCTGTGCCCCAGTGCATATAAATGCTCACAGACCTTTTCCCTTGAACAGACAGTCCCCTAAAGTCCCGTCCTCTTGTCTGTCCCTTTCACCACATTTGAAGGACAGTCCAGGTTATTACAGTTATTATTGCATTCATTCCCACCAGTGATGCATCAGGTTTTTGTTGCTCTACTAACCTGCCCAAAGGCCTTTAATACTGTGACCCTGTCATTCCATAAGATAACGAGAAGGCCTTTTTCTCTCCCTGCGCTCTCCTTTTTGTTCCACCTCATTTTCTTTTTATACCCGTCCTCTTCCCTTTTTTCTCAGCCCCACACTCAGACAGTTGATAGCAGTGAAGAGGCCACAACCCCACAACTAGAGCTGCAACGATTATTCGATTAGTTGGTCGAAAGAAAATTAATCAACAACTATTTTGATAATCCATTAATTGTTTCAGGTAGTTTTTTTTTTGAGCAAAAATGTGCAAAATTGGCTGGTTTCATTTTCTGAAATTGAGGAATTGCTGCTATTGTTTGTCATTTATGATAATAAATTAAGAGTCTTTGGGTTTTGGACTGTTGGTTAGACCAAAGAAGCAATTTGAAGACATCAGTTTGGACTCTGTAAAATTTAGATTTTTCATTTTTCACAATTTCTTGACATTTTATAGACCTAAACATTAATCGCGAAAGTTGTCGGCAGATTAGTCAATAATGAAAATAATCGTTAGTTGCAGCCCTAACCACAACTATGAGTCATACTTAGTCAGCCTGTTGCAGACAGAAACAGGTGCTATAATGCAGGTTGATACAGCAAGTACTGAGATCCCTCCTAATGTCCTCCCCCCAGGAAAGGAAAAAAATTGAATTGCCCCTTCATTGTCTTATAAGAGACAGCCATTGTTGTTTTGTTTTTTTAAAGTTCTTGGCAGGAAGTATGTTGTAAGGTGTACGTAATGAATCAGTAGAGGCGAGTCTTAACCTAAACTGGCCGGGCCACAAACTGTCATGACTGCTAGAGTATCCACTAGAGGGGGATCATTCCCTTGTTTTATTCTTTTTGCCTTTCCCTCTCTTTGTCCAGAGACATCTCTTCCCTGCTCCTCAGTTTCTCCCTCTTTCTTCTTCCCATCTCTGCTTTCTATTGCTTCTTCCTCTTCCTGTCTCAGCCTGTCGCTGTATAACATCAGAAGGCTGGAAAGTTTCACTGACCGCTCAGACACACACACATGCACTCACATTCGTTTGTCTTTGGTCAGGTGAAGGATGACTTGAAGTGCTTTTCATTTTCATGTCCCCACAGTAATAGAGAAACAGTCTTTATTATTTTGGTCCAGACTGCTTCCACATCCCTCTGGGTTGTGGGATAGTATTTTTACATGTATAATTTATGAAGTAGCCAGTATGCTCCTCATTGTATGTGAAAGGGAAACAGTGTGGGGGGAATTTGGGGGTTTATTGTCCTATAGTGAAATAATTCCACTGATAAAATGTCTGTGAGTGTATGTGAGGTTCATGGTTTTCATGAATACTCCTGTTTGTACCAAAACACCAGTATGAAGCAGCACCGGATCTCAAAGGTGTGTAGACTAACCAACCAGCAGAAGTCAATACAAAAACCCCGATGATCGATACCAATCTCACCTGTCAGAATAGACTTATATATAGAAATATATATTTCACACTAATATACTTGTCATATTCCTGCAGAGGTCAGTGCTGTTAGACTTACATGTGCTGAAAATGTCCAAGTTTGAACATTACACTTCCTGTCTCGGCCTGTACATACTAAGGATGTGTGAGTGTACTTGTCAGAATTTGTCTTTCTTAAAAACAATGTGTAAGGACTGTTTTTGTATTCTTGCTACTTTTTACCATGTGAAATGTTTTGACAAAAGCTCTTTTGTTGTTTTTGTAGTCCATGTAGTGATTGTATCAGTATGTCGCAGGGAATCTCATGGAGCACCCTCCGTGTGTGTGTGTGTGTGTGTGTGTGTGCGTGTGAGTCTGGGTGTGTGAATGTAAACAGTATTCTGTCAAACAGGGAAATTCCAACTGTAGACAATTGTATTAGAAATGTTTCAACAGACCTGCGCCTTTTTTTTTTTTTTTTTTTTTAAACTTACTAACCTTACTGGTCTGTCATCTGTTTTTTGCAGAACGAACCTGCACTTTGTGTTAGATATTTTCCATGATTTGAAAGAAATATTAGCACTGTTGTTCCCGTTCTATGTTGCGTTAAGGTTGATGTTGTGTCTGTCAGAGTGGGTTTATACCAGAGTGAATGACACCATGCTCTTCTTTGAATGCTATGAGATTCTGGTTGCGCTTAAGAAGCCTGGAACGCAAGTTGGCTAACATGTCATCTGTGATCGCCATTGTTTCTTTTTCTGTTTATGTGGGGGGCCGTTACCTCTCTCCCCTCTCTTTGTTTTACTGTTGAGTCATGGTTTGAGTGCAGTATTAAAAAGTATTGAGTACAAATGGAGGAAGGCCAAGGAGACGGAAGTCACATTTTTTTTAAATTCTGGCTTTCAATTCTTTTTGTTGTTTTAGCCTTCAAATGAGGCCACGGTGCCTCTCTGCCTCTTCCTCCCCGTCTGCTTTCTGTCTGTGTCCTTCATCATCTTCATCATGCGAGTCAGATGGTTAGTTCTATCAGCCATCATATTTTTATTTTCTGAGTCTGGTATTATAAGACTTTGAGAATTTTGAGAGAAAGAAGTACTGTATGTTTTTTTTATGGTTTCACATTTGTTTTTTGTTTTTTTATTAATCTTTAAATTGATATGAATATACATATATATATTCCTTAAAGGAGAGACCAGGGCCTTGGGGTGACTTTGATAAAGTTGGCTGTATTTTAACATCTGTATTCAGCTTTCAAAATGTAGAATTGTTTTTAAGGACAAATCACAGATGAAACGATGTCTACACAAAGAATTCTGCAGGGTGGTGGTGTAAAAGTTGAATAACTACAACACAAACACACCAGGAATCAATGAGGGTGGGTTCATGTTTGCCAAGAATTACAAGTGCTCAAGGACTTTTGACTTGTTAACTGGTGCTGACACATCATCAGATGTGCATAATAAGAAATAGTCACTCCAGGTGCAGGACAAGGACCTCACATACTGTATACTACTGACAGTAGATTTAATGTGTCCGTAAAAGTGTACATTCAAAGCCTAAGAAAAATCCCAGGCCAGCAGCACTAATTTAGCGTTGGTGAGGGCAACTGTCTGGTGGTGCATTTGTCCTGCGTGTTCTAGAGTAGCCTACTGTTCAAGTAGGAGAAACATTAACAGAGCAAACTGAAAATGCAGTGATGAATACTGCAAAGTGAAAGGGAGAGAAGCACTTGCCACATCTGGATCAATTTTAAAAATCCATTTCCCCAAGCATGTCCAACAAGCATACGGGGAAAGGAGAGGAAAATCTCCTGTATAAGCACAAATGAAGTAAATCAACCCTTGTGAATTTAAAATGGTAGTTTCAATGGAAACAGCCAGTTTAGACACCAGTTCAGCCACCTGCCATCCCCTCTTAGCTTTTCAGTTCCAGTAAACAAACCTGTCAGACCCTGGTGTCTCTTGCGCTCTGCATGCTTGCTGTGTTAGTTCCTGTGTTCTGTCCCTGGGAATTGGTCCCCCCCCCCCTCCCTCGCAGCACTGTTCCCTCCTATAGCTTTTCCAAATTGTACTGTAGTTTATGTGAAAGATGTTTAAAAAAAAGAAAAGAAAAAAAACTTTGTGGCGACGTACAGTACGTGTACATTAATGCTAAGGTTATCTGTATGTATGTAGCATTCAATTACACACAGCACTAACAAATAAAATTTTTTCATTTATAAACTTTGAGGAGTCATGAGGTTTTTTAAGCAAGAAAGTAACTGAATACATTATTCGTCTCATTTTTGAGTTGTTGTTTATCCTTTAAATGTTGCATTATTCCAGCAGAACACATTCAGATGTCAGTTGTTGTTGTTTTTGTTTTTTTTACCAGTGTTTGTACTGCCATGAATAAGATCATTCAAAAATTAAGGTTTAGAAAAAGTACAACAACAAAATGTCTTGATTAGACATGAAGTGTCCTTGAGCAAGACCCAGATTCACCCCATCCGTTTAATTACAGAATAACCCATTACCCATGGCTCACATCTATGCAGCATCTACCTACAGTATGTGCTTCACATAGTTTGTTTTGTTAGTGTATCAGAAGTAAAAGTATCTTATTACTGATGCATCAACAAGTAAACAGCATGTAGCTAGTCATGGTGCAGATCAACTAAATTACATATGGTTGGGTAGTGGTATGTAAGGTAATGCATCATATTTAAGACCATCTACTATTGTGTATATACAATTTTTACATATAGAATATGTAAAGAAACCACTACAGCTGTCAAATAAATGAATAAAAAGCGTGCGTAAAAGCCAAGTCATTTGTGCGTAAAAGAGATGACCAGTCCAGAGAGTATGGACGCATGCTGCTGGCAGCTGGGCATGCAACTCTGCATCATGTAGGCCTATGTAATTGGTTTTATTGGTCTGATTTCATATCAGGCCTGAAGTGAAGTGAAAGTTTTCACTTTGAAGTGGAGTAAAAAATATTGGGGTGCTCAACAGCAGCCACAGAGCTGGAGCCTGTGCCCGGTTCACTCATTCAGTGGGTGTGATAAATGCAAACTGGCATTTGCGCGCGCGCCTCTGACAAGTTTTGCCACACAAATAGTGAGGTTGTGACACCTTATGTTATTCTATGAGGTTTTGGGGAAACTTCAATATGCATCAAACGAAACAGTCTGTTTGACAGACAAAAGCCGGGAGACTTCTGTCACATCCTAGCCACTAGAGGGCGGCGTCTCTTCTGCTCTGTCGAACATCACATTCCTCATCTTCACCCCGGCAGACAGCTGCTTTCACATCCGGGCGGCTCTCTCGCTGCTCTACAATCGCAATCCGCTTCCCTGCGCTCTCGACCGGGGAGGTCTGTGGCTGCAGAAGAAACGCACGGAATTGCGGGCCCTCTGTCGGCGTCTGGTACCGGGCCACTGAGGCGCTGCTCCCCCGCACAGCCGGTTGCACATGACGCGGGCTCCGCCGATGGTGGTGCACGGCGCCGAGCGCTCCTCGTCGGTGCGACATCTCCGCGCTGAAGTAGCATCGCTGGCTAACGTTAGCTAACAACATCGATCTCTCTGCTGCTCCACCCCCCCTCTCCCTCCGGTCGACCCCCCGCTAACGATCCGTCACGTCAACAGCTGATTGATAGCTAACACTGGACCACCGAGGGCAACCCCCCCTCCTCACAGACAGTCCATCGGCTAGCGCAGGAAGCCCACCCGTTTCCTCCCCAAACGTTTTAGGGCCCGCAGAGAGAGAGAGCAGCTTCGGAGTTTTAACCCACGGCATTTAGATCACCGACCCCCTTTCCTCCTCTGTGGCCTTTTAGGGGTCCTTTTCCTCTCTACCTCAACACCCCGATGCCTCCCCGCCCCAGTGTGTAATCTCAGCTGCACTATCACCCCGAGTCTGATCAGCCCATCTCCGAGCTCCACCGACACCGGCTCTGCTGCTGCTGACAATCCGACCGAGGAGCGCTGCTCGGCGGGCACTGACTGCGGCGAACACCCCCGGTTCTCTCCCTCCCTCCCCTTTCTCTCATTCTGGCTGCAGAGGGAAACTAGCTGGATCCACTTCACACCCACACAGACAGCAAATACAGGTGCCGGTCTAGCCCTACAGCATCCACCTGTTAGGCCGTGACACCCCATCCCCTGGCAGATCTCCGTGACCCACGCCCCACAGCGCCCGAGACTCGGGTCTCGCCATGCCGGGTCCGGTGGCCGGTAGCAAGTCCCGTGTGTACGCAGACGTCAACACGCTGAAGAGCCGGGAGTACTGGGACTACGAGGCCCATGTACCCAACTGGAAGTGAGGACATTTCTGTTTACCGCAGCTTGCTCTAATTGCATGCACGTGATGTCTGATCACAGCACACACTGTGTGTTTGTGGAAGAGGGAAAATGTGGCAGATGGGTGGCTATTATTAAACATTTAGCTGTGAGGGTGTGATGACACTATGGCAGCACAGTCTCCCAGCCCACTGCCCTGCTGTTCTTCACTGACACTTTCTTTACCTCCATCTCTGTCCCCATGTTCACCCACATGTTGACTTGACCAACATCTTATGATCATTCCCCAAGGCAGGCAGCTTCATCTCAGTGACAAGAAACACATAGCAACAGCTCATACATGGACTGAAGTTCTGACGGTGAAAATGTTTTTCTTCCTTTCTCAAGCAGTCACACAAGCTCTGTACTGTTTCTCTGTCTGTCCCTATAGCAACCAGGAAGACTACCAGCTGGTTCGTAAGCTGGGCCGAGGGAAGTACAGCGAAGTGTTCGAGGCCATCAACATCACCAACAATGAGAAGGTGGTGGTCAAGATCCTGAAGGTGAGCAGTTGGATCTCCTTTAGCTACCCGTGCTGGCTGAATGTGTGAAGTGGAGTAAAATATTGAAGAATGAGTGACCTAAATTGTTAAATTGAAAACAGAAACAAAGAGTTTGGATGACCAGCAAGCAAACTGAACATGTCTATTTTCATACATCTCTGAAGATTATTTTGTTGGCGTTTTTGACAGCGGAAAGAGGAAGCGTGTGGGGAGAGAGGGAGCATGACAACAAACGTCCCTGGCTGGAATACTTTGGGCTAATTTTTCATTTTAAAATGCCAAACGATCATAAAGTTGATCAATTATGTGGATTATCTGCTGATAGTAAACAGAATACCTTTTTTAGGTTTTTGAAATACATGGGGGGGGGGAAAAAAAGAATTTTAAAGATGCCACTTTGGCCTTTAGGAAACTGATGGGCATTTTTCAGTATTTTCTGACATTTCATAAACCAAAGGATTAATCGAGAAAACAAATGGCAGATCAGTTCATGATAAAAAGAATTGTTAGTTGGCGCCCTACTGTTAATGCAGAGCCAAGGGCGTCACTTTGTGTTGAACAGTGGTGGGGACATAGAGGCTCAGATTAGGGCAGTGAAGAGACACTTAGCTTGCGAGTCATCACAATACGCGATATTAGGTTCATGAGAACAAGACGAAAAGATTGTTAAACTCAATGCGGAAATATATGAGAGGGCGGTCTGGGTGGACCTCCCCCCAGGAAATTATGATCATTAAACACTTTATGTCCTGCATTCTGGTGAATGTTTCTCCACAAATTTATGGTGGAAATGTTTTTATTTATGTAAAAGGAAACTCTAAATTCACATAGCACATGACATTTAAAAAAGAAATATAACAGAAGATAATGTGGTGCAGCTCTCAGTCATTCTGTGTTGCTATCATCCATATGACACATACATACACATATGAAGGCATGATTTAGTCTTCCCTCCTCTTTTGTCATGTTCAAAGGGAGAGAACGGAAAACTTGGCCGAAAAGAAACTGTGTCAAGAAGTTGTTACAGTTACTGACTGGTGCATGCATGTTTTGGGGTCATTTTATCATCATCATCATCAGCTTGTTTTGTTTTTTTAACTGAAGTTACTTTTTTGGACAATGCACATTTGTTTCTTCTATATTTTGATAGCATTGCATGTTTTCTTACTGTGCAAATAAACCTTTCTAAAAGCATTTTTATTATTCAACTGCAAGCTATATTTCTGAATGTTGAAAAAGGTTTGCTTTATAAAAGTGGTGGGGACATGTCCCCAGTGTAAATGACACGCATGTGCATAGCACAAAAACCTGCTGTGTTTGAATATCTTTTGCCTTATAGTTCACACTTGACTAACTAAATAAGGATGCGTGGTAAGTTTAACAGGTGGCTGTGGTGTCCTATCAATCAATGAAATCAATAAATAAAGCAATCAACAAATGAGTAAAGGCTGAAATTAATACATAGAAATTACCTGGGAAATCAATACATTTCTTAAAGTTATTTATGTATTTCTACTTTTCTTCATTTCTGTGTCTGTATGCTAATAAGTAGGCAGTGCTAGCTGCAGAGGAGTGTGATCGATTGGCTCATTGCTTTTGCCTTGATGCTGGTGTTTAAAGCGGTTGCAAGATCTTTTGCTTCTGCCTGGTTTGCCCTGCAAGTGTTAATTGATTTACTTCAAAATTATTTATTGGTCAGTTAATTATTGTTTTGTCTGCCATAATGAACAGGCAGTAAAGCCCTCTGTCTGCTCGGTGTAAATCATAATCCCATATATATTTTTTTAATAGTCTTTGCAGAGGATTATACAGAGGAATCAGTAAACACAGTTAGTCCATTCTTGTTCAGCCACACTCTAAAGCAGCAGTTAAAATGACCTCACCAAGAAGAGGCCGCCACACGACTTCGTGCTGCACCGGCCTGTGTTCAGCTGTTCCGCCAGAGATTATAACCCTTTAATAAAAGGTGCGATGGGGAATGTTTGGGGCTGGTGTCATGATGATGCAGCTGAGAGGATGAGGAGGCCTGTCACCATGGTGTTTAGCAAGCCCCCCCCCGCACTAAATGTCTTTGCTTGAAGATTGAAAGGCTGGATCAGCAGGTTCAAGATCAGGAGTCCAAAAAAAGCACACGGGCGAACTCCTCTGCTTGAACGTCTCGATGTGATGTTTTGTTTTTTTTCTTGCCTTGTACCCTAAAACCTCCCTTCTAATTCTCTGCCTTTGTTGGCCTTGCTTGGTTTTCTCATGGAATTAGCCGGTCAAGAAGAAGAAAATCAAGCGAGAGATCAAGATCCTGGAGAACCTGCGAGGAGGGACCAACATCATCCGACTGGTGGACACAGTCAAAGACCCGGTGGTAGGCTCGCTAATGGCATGTCTGTCCTGCAATATG